TCCAATATGGTTGCAATGTCTTTGTCCATTATTTCAAAAGATTTTCTTGTTTAGTGTTTGCACATCAATAAAATATATTATTATCATCATAACCATGTACAAGATGGAACCCTCTTTAAAATATCTACCGTTCCATGATTACCTTTGAATGCCTCTGTTGCTCCGGGTGCTCTGTTTTTGTCTGGATGAAACTGTAGGGCAAGTTTTCTGTACTGCTTTTTGATGTCTGCTTCAGATGCCTCTCGGTTTACACCAAGTATCTCATAATAGTCTTTGCAGTTTTTTATCCTTTTTAATGAGAAATATTAAATATTTTCAGAGCACATTGACAAGTGCATTTAAAAGTTGGTTACAGTAATTTTTTTTTCAAATAACAAACTTACAAACTTTTCCTGACTACTATAAAAAAAGCTTCGATCTACATACATGTACAAGGTTATTATTAGAGAAAGGTAATCAGCAAAATCTAGTGTTGAGTATTTTGATCCTTAGGTTGACTACTTTTGCCAAATTAAGGTTGTAATTCTTGTACTGGCACCTTATGGTTCACGCAAGCAACAAACGATAGCTTGAAATGGTTTACGGGCAAATCAACTGTGCGGGCTGGTTGGGAGAACACAAGAAAACATCTATAAATCATGAGCCATCGGGCGAGTGATTTACCTTTTTGAGTGTTCTCCCAACCATACCAAGCAGTTTATTTTGCCAGAAAACTGGTTTAAATATTTTTTATTGCAAATATTTAATAGCTGGCGTCCACCGTTTAGACTCAAAAGTCTTTCAAGACAGCAGGCTGGTTTACTGGTGGAATAACCATAGGTTTTCTCGTGAAAGTGCCAATTAGCGCAAGTGTTAGAAATGAGCTATAATATAGTATAATTATTGTTACGTTTTTTCAGAATAGCCATCTACTTCCAAATTCAAGAAAACCCCTCTATATACAGTAATATTTTTTTATTATTATTACTTTTATGTTAACAGATTTATTAGAAAAATAGTAAGTTATGAAAAAGAAATAAATAGAGTGCTTGCACTTAAAGCGTGAAACAAATAGTACTAATTACTACTAAATAGTGTTGATTATACAATAGGAAACAAAGGAATTTGTATAATTTATCACCTATTTTGTAGTATTTATATTTCACGCATTTAGTGTAAGCACTCTAATGGATTCAAATAATAATAAAATGTCTGAGAGGGAATGCGTGAACAGGCGACCCATGCAAAGTGTTTCCCTGAAGTTTTTTTTTTTTTTCCCTTACTTTTTGACTGCATCTACTTGTTCTTGTGTATAATTTTTGTCCTGTGGTGCAGAGCCATTACTTGCAGCACTACCACTGTTAGTTCTTGTTCTGTGTCTTACACCATCTGCATTATCAGCCTTTGTAAACCCGCTTGACATGCCATTCTTTAGAAGTGAGTTTAGAAGGTCTGAAAATTAATAATTAATAATTATTATTAATAAAATTTTGACAGGACAAAAAGTTTTGGTCAGATGTTATTTTGAGCCCCATCTGTCGCACGAAATGCTTTTTAAAAACAGCAATGTTGTTCACATTTAGAGCTTAATAACATGTTGCATTCAACATAATAACATAGGAT